TCTAGTAAGAAATATAAAAATGCAGTAACAGTAATATACGTAAAATAGAAACGAAATATTTTGTGTTTTATGAAATGGACAAATTGTTTTATAAACTTTAACATAGAGGGTAGGCCATTAAAAGGTACCATCTTGAACATCTTTAGAATTGTAGGACATAGAACAAATGTATAAAGTAGGAGTTACTTAGTATAAAAGAGAATTCTCCTGCAGAACAAACGATATTCTAAAGAATTTTCTCTCATTTCCATTGTTCTAGAGATTTCAGACGGTAATTCTGATTGGTCCACCCTGTATAGTTTTAGTAGGTTATATTAGGTGCACTGATAAGTATTCCATTATTTTTTTAATAAGATAATGACAAAATTTAAATTCAATATATCTTCTCGATTATGAATTTAAAAAAAAATATTAGACTATGTTGTTGAATGATAAAAAAATATTGCTTAGCAACAATGTGGCTTTAATTTTCTTGAAAATAAATATTGAATTTGGGAAAAGTAATGAACTATGCATTGATATGTACGCCTAATAATATCTAGTTACAAAAAAACGGCAATTTAAACAGTTCTAAAAATAATATAATTAACGAATGAAAATTAAACAAGAATTTCTTTTCCTTAATCCTCAGAAACCACACCCCACACCTCAGCATATATAAACATCACATTACTGCCAAGTGGGATTTTGAATTTTCGATGATTAAGAACTTGAAGGAATTGAATAAAAACAAATTGAACTCATAACATATTTTTTAGGGTAAAATTTCCTCAGAAATTCAAATGTAATAATTGCAAAAGTAAGAAATACTGTTTTAATTATGAAAATTTGTTATAAAGAAATGATCAAAACGAATAGACGAAATAATGTTTCCCTGGTGCCAATTTGCATTAATATGGTGTCTGAGGGTTAATTATACAAAATAATAAATCGAATATATTTAAACAAATACACAAAGACCCGTTGTAAGTAACTATATGCAGTAATTGATGTAACGGTAAACAATCAAATTATATATGTTCGGAAGCTAATAAGAACCGATTCAAGGAAAATATTAAATAGTCAACAAAACGTGGAACGTTCTTATTTCAATTTGTACAAAGAGTTTAATTCCGTTGAAAATTCTATTGCCATTTACACTTCTCTCAGTTTCACGTAATGCTACGCTAGTGTTCTATAAACAGGATCGCCTGTGTCGCCTTCATCAGTGTCGTAATTTTCTTCCTCATTATTACTCGAGGACGATCAAGCCGCGACGCGATCGGTAATTACGTTACAATAAAAATTGCAATTCTTTTTCTGTTCCCTTCCAGTCTGCTATCTCTTAGAGTAAGTAATTTTCTCGTAAACACTTGTTCGATTTATATGTGACGTTATCCACGATAAGTATTACATATTATTACATTAACGGAACACACATAAATAGCCGCGTGAACGAGTTAAGGTTCTTAGTGTCCCTGCTGTGACTTCAATATATGTTTATAGCATTTTTTTATTTGTATTTATGTCGTGCGAAACATTATATACTTTTTTCTCCTCTTTTACGTCGAATGGATTACTATATAGGTCATTAGTAGGCTGTGGAAGTTTATATAAATTCACGATTACAGATTACATTTTCCAAGTTAAAAGATGCTATAAATGCATAAACATCTGCAATCTATTTTGTGATTACCGACAAAACTCAGCCTGTATTACGATGTTTTAAGAGGGACCATCTTGGCCAGTTCAAAAAATTGCATTTTTTTTCAATATCCTAAAAATAAGATACTATTTATCCGAAGACAAAATTCAAACTGGAAATTACTTTAACGGTACATTCTGGTGTAGACGCTGTAAGAAAACAGCTTTCTTAAAGGATTTTTCTAAAAGAAAACTAACACATAAAGTAACCAATCAGTCTAGGGTTTATACATACATGTACATTTCAAGATACGAAAGAAATTTTTTCTCTGTTATTTTGTTTAATATATACTTCAAAAATCATTAATGACTGTGACGTTAAAAAAGACAAGTGCCCAAACGATATTCTTAGAATCTCGAGATCCACTCATCTGAAATAAAAAGATCGAAGTTTTTTTTTAAACTTATATGGATGGTTATCGTATCAAGCAGGTTCAGAAACGTTGTCTAACAAATACATTTTTTATTTAACATTTTTCAATGAACAGATTTCCTATATTTGGAAGATTTTCACAAAAACCCAATCAGCGAATTTTCATTATTTTTCAATGAAAGTGTTTGATAAGATACCACCCCTATAAATTTTAAGAAAAACTTTTGTTTATTTGTTTGAAATGAGTGGATCGTCTAATTATGGAATTTTGAATAATCGAATGGTCGAATTATTCAAAATTTCTAATCACAGAAGACATCTTAAGCTTCGCATTGATTCTATAGAATAGGAAAGAGTCACAAACATCAAGAACTGAGGAATAGAAAAAATGAATTACTGCAGGAATATATTTTGTTAGTAAGAAATTCTTGAATAGAATGGGCTCCGTCAGTTGGAGCGTTGTCACGACAGACAAGCCGTCCGTCATTGCGGAATGGTTGAAGTTGTTTTGGATTGACTTCTTCTCTCAATGATTGCAACACGGTAGATAATGATGAACCTACGGATGTGCCGCCGTTGACACAAAATACTCGTCGACGTTACATTTGTGAAGATAATAGAATTATTAGAATTTCGTCATATATCCTCGCACTACCATAACAATGGTAGGAAAGTCATTTTCAGCGTGCATTAAGGGCATTGGATGGATATTCCACTTATTTTAACTACTACAAAAACTACCTGGAAGAGTACTTATGTTACTGCAGACGTCATAACAGGACAAAAAGCATGGAAAAACTGTTTAGGTCGAATTCACGAGATTGTTTGTTAATATTGTAATACAGTCGATTTTGTTAATAGCTTTCTGTTAATATTTAAATAGCCTATTTTATCAGATTTATGTATCTAATTTATATTAGACACATCAATCAGATAAAAGTAAAAAATATTAGTAAAACTAAAAAATATGAAAAGAGGAATATATAAAATATACCTACACGAGGAGAAAATAAATAATTTTTTATAAATTCCTCTGACCTTTTTTCCTCGTCTAGGTATGTTTTATATATTCCTCTTTTCATGTTTTTTACTTTCCTTTTTGTATTTATGTGTTGTTTTGTTTCTATGATGAATTATACTGTAATCTTCCTTTACATTATATATTGCACTTTATACTTTTACATTTAATCTTTCACATCTGTGTCTGAGTCACTTTAATCTGTAACATTGAATGGTTCTTCCTGTAAACAAGTAAGTATTTAATTTACAAGACGAGTCCATAGCAATTGTCGAAGAACTAGCTCAGAAACCATAATATATATTTCATTAATTGCTGACAAAAAGTTGTTTATTCACACTTAATATACATAAACAGACCACGTTACTCACTGGATGACCTAATAATCCTTATAAAAAGTGACGCTAGAGGAAACGGAAGAAAGCAGGAAAAAAGATTCCAACGACATTGAAATTGCATTAATAAATGGGCAAAAATCTAAAATTTGTAAAACCTTATTTAATCTTCAGGTAGAGGCTATTTAAGAAATCAATCCAGCAAGAAGAAAGTAATAGTGAAATACTTTTCTAAAAACACATTTTTAACATTTGTATTATATACAATTCGTCAAAGAAACAAAACTACTTACATGTCGAATGTAACTGAGCATTGTCAGCGATAATTACCTTTTGTAGTTCATGTGGTATAAAAGAGAGAGATAAAACAATCTTCACAAAAAGTAAAGTCAGAAATAGGTGGAAAGTTGAAGAAATGATTTCAACCGTATAAACATTTCGTTAATATTATACAGGAAAAAGGGACACATCATAAACAGACTGAGGATGTTCATGTAAATACAGATGTATCGAGGCTTATTCATGAAGACTAGAATTAAATAAAAATTTCTTTACTCCATTAACACGTTCACTGCCACAGTGAAAAAGGCTGTACGTAGCCAGACATGCTTTATTTCGTTTCTAAGTCGTAAATCGTCGAAAATATATGCGTTTAGTAAATAGATGCTGTTAGCCCTGTTTTAAATTATACTGCATTATTAATTTTACATACAAATTTTGTAACGGTATTAAATAATCCAACCTCTTTTCAATATACGTGTCATTCATGTTTGAATGACGCAGCAGTCAAAGTGTTCATGATTACTTAACAGGCTACTTAACAAAAATAAAAAACTTCCTATTACATCTAGTTCTAGAAAAGCATGTACTACTATAAACTCATAAAATCCGTAATTTATTCGTGAACTTCATTTACGGTTTCAGTAAAGATTACATTTAAAAAAACTAATTCAACAAGAAGAGAGCAGTTAAAATTGTCTCCTAAAAATAAGTTACAAATTAATTCAGTAATTTTCACAGAAACCAGAACTACAAAAACAGGAAGAAATTAAAAAAAAAAAAGATTCTAGCGTTACTACATGGCGAAATGGAAAACATGATAAAACTTCACTTACACTTTCGACGAAGACCACTGAATAAATAATTCAGTACGAAGGAAGTGCAAAAATTGTCTTCTAAAAATAAATTACAAATTGACCTAGCACTACAGGAAGGAAAGAATAAGATTCCAGCGTCATCAAAGTGGCGCGACTAAATGACCGATCGAGGAAAAAAAAGAAAAGCGCGTTCTGTCGCCGAAAAAGCGTGTCCACCAACGTCGGGCATTCGAGTATCGATTGTGTGTCCGCGTTTTCTAAGTTCCGTGTGACTCGCGTAGAGAAAACAGAGAGTGGGGCATCCAACGATATAAAGGAGAACCGGTCCAAGAGGCGATCGTTCCCACTCCATCGACCGCGTTCTCTCCATCTCTTCAGTTCACCGTGCCGGCCGGTTGTCTTGCATTTCTCTTTCCGTGACCCGATCGAGAACCCCGTACGCCGTTCCTTCTTTCCCGATTCACTATCGTTTCGTACCGGCGATCGTGTCATCGTATCAGCTGATCAAGGTAAGGCGATATCAATCGACAAGCAATTTTCCTTGTTTTGCTCGCGCGCGCGCGCGCACAGGGGGGTTAACTCGATCAGATTGGAATCGTTACGTTGTGATAAAATTGTGTTGGTGGTCGAAGAAATTGACAGAATTCGTTTTTTTTCTCTCTCTCTCTCTTTATTTGACTTGTGGTATTTACAATCAATTCCTACTATGGAATTATAAGTAAATATTTTGACATTGCATCGTGGTGTGTGAAGTTAGTTATGCATAGTGGTTACATTAGATCGTTGTATATGTATACATACTGGATTTGATTAGTGCATCTGTTTACTAGATTTAGGGAGGTATATCTTTTTAGTCTATATGTGTTAATGTCGCGTGTGTAAGTCAATTCTAACGCTAGTGGATTTTTATGCTGTGATAACTATTTTATATGGCGTTTGCTGTTGTTTGATGCTTCTTGTTTAGTAGTAGGTATTGTTAGGTCGTTGTGTATTATGTCGTTAGAGACAACTTTGTGTGTGGTTCTTCATTTATTTACCGTCAAACTGTTTATACAATGTAACAGATACCGAAATGATTGCGGATAGGTTTTCTAATAGATTGTTTGGTTATTGCCAAATTCGTTTTACAGTGTTACGGTGTATTGTAGAAATTTGTAGCTGTCAGAATGGTAGGAGGTAATGTTTCTTAAGGTTTGTAGGACAGTGGAGAGTATCTGTAGTAGTGAAGGTGACAGCTTTTCGATTGATGCTTTTGAACTGTTTTATACGAGATATAGGAACTGCTTCCAATGTTTTTGATACTTGATAAGTTTTTGTGATTACTTCAGACGGTTTTGTATTTCATAAGTTTCATTAGAAGTAAGAAAATGTGCTTTAACCTTGAGCAAGTTTTCTAGAATTGCCAAAGCAGTCAAAATAACATGGGTTTGTCAAAAATGGTTTGAATGTTATAGCAGAGCATTTTCCAGCATTCTTCGGAAGCCTTATTGCAATCTATAAATAAAGAAATTAATTAATTGATAAATTTGTATATTTCCAAAAAGCTGTCATTTCACGGATCAAATGGAGAAAAGATGTTTGTTTGATCTCACCCAGGTATGTTGCTGAAACTAATTACCTGCGTGAGTAATATTAGATTTTATTTGGCGTAAATTCCGAAGTTTTATTGCAGTCTATGCTTCTTTCAAGAATTTTACATTACTTTCGCCGGATATAAACACGCGACAACTGTTTGACCTCACTAGTCGATTTGTTGATTTGGAAGGGCCAACATCGGTTTTTTTAAGTGTTTCGTGCTACAGAAAAGTTCAATTGTGTTGGTTAAACAAAATGCCGAGTGACGAGCGTTTAACTTCTGAAGAAATTGGAAAAATTCAGATTTTGTATAATTAACACGTGAAATTATCAATTACTTGGTGAATCCTGAAGTTAAGTAGTATGTTATTTGTCAGTAATTCTAGTGTTAACATTGTCTCTTCAAATAAGTGTTTGATCGACCAAAATTAAGTTTCATTTTAAAAATTATTCGCATATTGGGCATTAAAATGTTTTCGCTAAAACTGAGAAAAATAGAATTAAATATTAATCTTAATTTGAAAAAAATATTAATGTCCATGTCAATATCTTTATTTAGGTACAAATTAATGAATGTGGAAACACATTAATACGTTATGATACTACTTAAACGTTTGTTTATAAAATCCATCTTGTTATAAACAGTACATTACTCTATATTTGATAGGCACACACAAACGTTTGTTAGTCTGTCAACATATATGTATATAAATATTCTCCAAATATGATCCACGCTATTCTATTTCTATAAAATATACACAACCGTATTTTCCATTATTAATATACACTGCTTAATTAATTAGGGAATCATGTAGTGCAATCGTTGTAACCGTCAATACAGTGTATAATTCTAGGAAAGTTTTTCGGATAAGCAAACACTAGGTGTTACTATTGCACGGTAAGATGGAGAAATGTCAATTTGTTTAACCTATTGCACATGTTTCCACTTTTTCGCTTAGTTGACGCAATAGTAGACTGCTCGGCAGTAGCGATCCTTTAATTATTCTCAACGGTGTACATGTGAGTAATTTGTTCCGTGATTACATTAACTCAATTCATCGACTGGTTCTTGCCAAAGGCAGTGCACTAGTGTCAAATATTATTAATAAAATAGATCATTAGATAGAATCAAGAATAATAATATTACATCCCAGCTTTTCTCGTTTTGTAAATTACCTTTGCTCTGTTGGATGTATCTGTTTCGACTATAATGTTTCACAGCTGACTTATAATAATTATACAACGGATATTCATGCAAATACAGATTTTTGTGAGCTAATTTCCAGAAATTGGGCTTAAATTGGAACCTGTTTACTGTACAGACTTTTAGACGGTCATAAATTTTGCATATTTAAATACATTATTTCCTCTCAGAAATGTAAGTATTAGAAATTAGTAATTTCAAATTGCTGATTCGTTATTTCACTTGAATCTATCGTTAATTATCTACTTACAAGGGAACACCGCAGACGCTGACTTGCGGATTGGAATGAAACTTTGTATTCTTGTACAGTCGCCCTTTAGGGGTGTGAAAACTAACCTCAAAGTCGAATAGGCACCCTCACTTTTTGACGTGTAACTCTTAAGGTATAAGAGACAGAAAAAAATGTTTCAGACAAAAGTTTAGTGGTACAATAAGCGCTATAAACTTACCTTAACAAAATTTCAAAGAAAGTGTTTTAAAATATTCATTTTAAGAAAACAAACTCTTTCCAAAATTCTGTTAATGCAGGTTTATAGCGCTTATTGTGCCATTAAGATCTTGTTTGAAACATTTTTTATTATCTCTTCAACAGTTATACGCGAAAAAGTAGGAGTGCCCATTCGACTTTGAAATTAGTTTTCACACCCTTAAAGAGCAACTGGGCACGAATGAAACATACCGTTATTGTCGTCTTGAATCGCTCTATAAATTCACAAAATTTCATTTCAATCTGCGAATCAACGTTTACGATATTCCCTTGCTAGTGATATTGGAATTTTCTAGATTCGATAGTACATCTAAGACAGGCAAAATCACAACAAAAGTAATAACCGTATAGAAAGTATTGTGTAATATATTTGTATGAAAAGCTGTAGGAGCCAATTTTAGAATCGCGATTAAAGGAAAAAAGAAAATTTTACGTACGATAGTGTCACACGTCCAAAACGAGAATACAAACAAGGCAGATGAAGATTCATGAATAAAAATTACAAATGTAGAGAATACTTTCAATTATTCAGCTAATTTTTTCTTCGCAAAAACATTGTTTTCTTGGGAAACGTGGTTCGTATATTTACGTAAAATTTCTGGTCAGTTCTATTCGTTGACTTCACGTTCTTCCTCGCGTTAATCATATTTTTTGCGCCTCTGGACGTGCGTGACTCAGTTGCTATTTGTTTCGAACTCTGCTTTCGGATCGGAAACTTTTATCATAGTTGCTAATAACATTTTCATTCAGAGCAAGCTCAACACTGGAACTACCAACGCAGAATGTATACTAAATTAAATTGCATAAAATATACATTATACTATAATATAGTATAATGTAATGTGTATAATAAATGAAAGGTTAAGTTATTTATTAATGAAAGTATCTTCATGATTTCAATTATTGTTAAACAAGAGGTTTGAAATTGATCGTTTTGACGGGTTTGGTAGTTCTAGTTTTAAATCCACGAGCAAGCTGAAAATTTGTTTAGCATAACATTCTTTGTCATTTTACCTATATTATGTGACATAATGGATTCACAATAACATTTTAACATTTTCTAGAGCGTCTATATCATTTTTGATTTTTTTGCCATTTAGTAACTTTTTTTTTAACTATAACAATAAAATTTTAAATGCAGATTAAATAATATTAAATAATTGATAAATTTGTGTCCTGCCATTTATATAAGACTAGAGGAAACTATTATTTTCAATTCTTATTTTATTGTAGTTAAACTAAAAAGGAACCAAGTATATGTCGTGTCTGAAATCCTGTTGAGAAATAACGTTTCTCTAGAAAAGGATCATATCCCCTAGAAAAAAAATGATTAAATAACCATAATACCATAAGGATTGAAAATTTTAGAGTGATTTTATAGTTATGTCGCGTAGTGTATACTCAAAGATATAAAAAAATATGTAATACTAATATATTACTTCGTAATTTATTGTACGTAGTCACATTGCTACAGTGGGGACGAAAGGATTTAACAGCTCCCAGCATCTTACGACACGATTTTTTTTTCGCAAGTCCATCGATGCAAAATCATACCACAGAATAGTAGAATTCCTTAGACTGTGTAAAATTTATCTCTATTATCTTCTTCGAATTTCACTTGGATTAAAGTCTGGCCCACTTGCTAGAATCACTCTGTATACGAGAACAATGGAAAAGAAGTTTGTCTAAACACTAAATTCCACTCGAGTATGGCGCAGTGTTTGATTACTTCGTCACGTTCGCGATTCGCCTTTCCATTGGATTGCCTAATTTCAGGTTTTACCAAGGACGGTATTTGGTAATATGTACATGTGATTTTCTGGTGCACCGTCCGCATATTTCTTTCTTTGGGTGAAAAACGAGCTTTCTCCCTGTCGATTTTTCCTGTCACCTGAACAACGATTTTCATTGATCGTGACTGGCGCTTCAAGTCCGATTTTATTAGGCCTCGACAAATGTCTCTACTGTTCTCTGTCAATGATACAGCTTGTATGAAACTCTTTCATTTTCTATGACTTCCAAAATATTAATTCTAATATCATGTTCTTTGCCAGTATGTATTGGTACATCTAGGGTAAATGTTCCAATTATTGTCAGTGTCCCTATTACTACCACTATATTTATTTTACTTAATAAAAACGTAGGTATCGTACAAAGAATTGTTTATGCCAAAATTGTATTATTAAATTGGGACTCTGATTTGCATGAAAATAAAGGGGCACGTGGTACGCACTTATATGTAC